ATGGCTTCGTCGTATTCTTTCCAACTTCGAGGCTACACCAACAGAGCCGACCACCATTTTCTGCGACAATGTCTCCGCACTAGCGCTGGCAAACAACCCCGTCTTCCACGCCAGGACGAAACACATAGAGATAGATTACCATTTCATTAGTCACCACATTCAGCAAAAGGAGATCTCGGTCCAGCATATTCACTCCATCGATTAGCCTACCGACATTCTCACGAAAAGTCTGCCCATCAACCAGTTTCAACATCTTTGAACCAAACTAACTATCCGCTCTAAGGATAGTAAGTTTGAGGGGATAGTAAGTTTGAGGGGGCCTGTTAGCCAACGGAGCCATGTGCCCACTGTTACGGTTACCTGACAGCCACAGGCACCACCTCCTCTGGAGCAGACAACGACCCGCAACAACTATTCTCTAGAACATTACCTTCTCTATATAAGGAATACTGTATCAATTAGAATATACACTTGGAAAAATGAAAATCTCCATTGAGCCCTACTCTTCTTCTCCTTTATTCCATCTACTCTAATCTTTCATTGCAGGTGTTCGTTTTAAACAACTACATTAGTCTTCTTAGGGAGACTATGATTACTTGGCTACTGATAATTATTTATCACTATTCCTCAAGTGGATCATAAACCACCTTCTACATCTTTCTCATATAAGGTTTCGATTGAGAAAGTTTTTTTATTGCTTCTTAAAACAACTTTTAGTTAAAAAAATAATTTTTTTTGAGATCAAACGAAGCTTAAATAACCAACCAAATGCAGCTTTTGTTAGCATCCTCTTAGCTCTTGCGAAACCATTATAGAAGGTATAGACCTTCATCCACTTTGTCAACCCATGAAGCAATTATATCTCTCTCAAACATTGTGCAATGTCTCTCCATCCAACTTCACAAAGTTGGATCTTTTAATACACATCAAAGTTATTTTCTTTGGTGAAATTATTTTGAGAGAAATTTTTTGGGCCATACCATCGATCACCTGTAATTAAAACACTCGACATCAAATTCAGCTAGCTCTTGGCAAGGGCTCTTAGTGAAAATGAAAATAATCTTAGGTTTTGTTTGGGATGAATTTCTTACTTCTTTGTTATAAAAAGATGTTTATAGTACAAAAGTATTTTGAAAGTAGAGAAAAAATGGTGGTTAAAGTTGTCCCCATTGTACTTGCATGTTTTGATAATTTTGCCTTCAATAGTCAGGCCATCAAACTACGAATGTTGTATTGGATCATCTGGAGCATGGTTGGCTTGATGTCAAAGTGTTTTCTTGTATTCTAGGCTTGATGATAGCTTAGGGCATGTCATGAATAATCAACAAAGTATGGTCTCATAATAAGGCCTAGTCTCTCATAGTTAAGCTTGCAACAGTTGCCATAAGTTTTGCTATAACATATGGCACTGCAATTGCAATATGCTTCCTGTTTCTTTGTTTTCTTCAAAAATATCTTTTTGATTTCTGGATCTAGTGGAAGTGGTGGTTTTCCATCAAAAAGATACTTATACTAAGAACAATATCTTAAAAAGCTAAAAAGTCAACACAAATATGCAAATAAAAAAAAATAAAATAGGTTCAAAGAAAAATCAATTTGTTATTAATATTGACAATTATAATCACTGACTATAACATCAAAATTTTGTACAATCTAGCCATACATGTAAGAATATGCGGATGCACAGATAATTAATGATAAAGTAGGAGTATCATCCCATAGAAATTATGAAAGTTAATTACTAAGATAAAGTTTATTTTGACTTTATTTGAATAATCAAAATAAAGTTAAGTGAATTACGTACATAAAATAAATAAATGCTAATTAATGAAAGAAAATAAAAATCTCCTTAGGTTATAAGTTATAAGAGGATCAAAGCCTAGGGATTAGATTTCATTGGGAATCATTCTATTGATTTAGTTGGAACTCAATCAAAAGGTATGAACGTGTTTGTTGTAGTCAAATTTTTTAGTGTATCATACCATTCCCTTGAAAACCTAGGATCTCTAATCTCGATCTCCACACAACCTACCTTTCTCTCAATTATAAACTCAATACAAATATACTTAGTTGATTTAACATAAGAGATCTACTTGATTACACAAGTTCACTCAGATATCTCAATTTGATAACATATTGAGAATAATAACTAGAACACTCAACAATGCATAGAGTTGTCTTATAAGTCCAAAATCCTCTCAAATACCTTGACAAATTTCCCCTAAGTTATTATTATGCTCAATCACTAAATATCTCCTTTCTTAATGATTGATTTTGACAAATCCCCTCTAAATTACATCATTCATCATGCAACACACCTTGAGTGCACATAATACCATTGGGTGGCCCTCTACTAGTACATGTCACAATTGTCATAATACCTAACAACCCGTAACTTTCTCTGCAAGTTAGATTCTTAATTATTCATGCTTGTCATGTATTTATAAATGGGTTTCTTTAACTTAGGTCGCTCATTGAGCTTTTAGGACCTCTTCCATTTTCTTTCTCTAGCCAAAAGTCATTGTTAACGCCTCAAACCATTGGAAATTTGTTCCATTTTATCATTTCTCATAAGAGAACCTTTGCATAATTGTAGTTGTTATGAGTTGTTTTAGTTTTAGGCCTTTTTTGCTCATGCATGTTATCACACCTTGGTAATGCTCCATAAATAGAGGCCTTGGGTTGATGTAAGAGTTGGGGAAAAATCTTAAAAGCTTATTTGTATTTCCTCCAAATGTGGTGTCTCTCTCTCTCCCTCCCTCTCTCTCTCAAGAACATCTTCCAAGATCCCAACAAATGGTATCAGAGCTAGAGAGATGGAGGAATGCGTTCTTGAGGTGGAGCAGTTGGCCTTGACTACGCGAGTTCCATCGAAGGATCCAAGAAGGCGGAGCTTGACGCGTTGGGGACTTGTTCGCGTTCGACGGCCTTGGCTGTTTGACGTGGACGGCTTGCGGGGATCGGAGGTTGATTGGGAGGCCGTGCGGGGAGCAAGGAAGACCGGCAGTAGGGGTCTCGCACAGATGTTGGTGGAGGCTGGACCCCTCTCATGGACGTCCGACGGGGCTACAGGAGGCGGAAGCCGGAGGTGACTTCGGCAGACAGTTCCCGTGGCTTCTTGATCAGGATTTTGGATCGGCTGAGTTCGGCTCGGAGGCGGATGTCCGCTGTTTGGCTTGTGCAAGAATTGGTTATCAATGATCGGGAGACGGGGAGGTCAAGGGAGCCTTCAGCCCTTTCGGTGACGTTCTTGAGTCAAAGGTTGCATTGAAGTATTGTTTTTCGGTTTGAGGGTTTCTCTGTTCTCTGGCATATCCGGCTAGATCTGTTGTCTCTTTGGCTTAAATTCTTTTAGATTTGGTAAAAGAAGTTGAAGGCATTTTGTTACTGTCTGGAAGCAATATCTGTTCTTGATTAAAGATCGGTTCAGATCTTTTGAGGTGGAGTTCGGAAGGCAGCTGCAGAGGCGGAGAGAGAGAGACTCTTGATCTTGAATTCGATCAAAGTGGAGAATTATAGGAGCATGTTGAAGCATCAAGAACCTCGTGGATGCAAGATGGTCGGAACTTGGGATTGTGACGAGCAGAGTGCAGGTGAATGCGCAGGGCTCGGTGGACAGGTGGATCGTGCGAAGTCGCTGGTAGGAGCGCGCACGGGTGTCCAAGGCGATCGGTTGGATTGCAATAAGTTTGAGTTCTTGTGACGAGTGGTTCTTTGATTTTTTGTAAAACTAAATCAAGGTGGAGATTGTTATGAGTTGTTTTAGTTTTAGGCCTTTTTTGCTCATGCATGTTATCACACCTTGGTAATGCTCTATAAATAGAGGCCTTGGGTTGATGTAAGAGTTGGGGAAAAATCTTAAAAGCTTATTTGTATTTCCTCCAAATGTGGTGTCTCTCTCTCTCCCTCCCTCTCTCTCTCAAGAACATCTTCCAAGATCCCAACAGTAGTCAATTCATTTAATTAGTGTATTTTGAGGGTGTCAACCTCAAAATGGGAAGCATATATCCAATCAAAATAATTCAATAGTAACACTATAAGTGATAAGCCCACTCGATCTCATGTTTCAGCTAACCCATTTGACAATGGCTAAACAAGAAAAAGTTACATTATCCAAAGAAAAAAAGGTATACTTTTGTAAATATTGATCCATCCCAACTTAATAGCTTGGCTTGACTTTCTATAAATTAGCTTTCATCATTGCATTGTCTCTTTGCCTCCAAAATTTAGTAAATATAGAGTGATAACTATGATGGCATGTGGTTGTTCCTAAATAGACTCCCTATAAATATGTATATTCAAAAACCAGGAATTTAGTCTAGTTAGTTAACACTAGAAATGTTTGATGAATCATGAGTCACCTTAGAAGAAATTGAGGTGATAAATCAAACCAAGTGTCACCTTAGAAGAAATTGAGGTGATATTTAAACAGTAAATTTTGCTCAATTGTTGCATCTAATTAAGGTTTTGTTTGGGACAACTTTCTTGTCGCTTTCTAAAAGTATTTTTTGGGTACAAAATTTTTAATTCAAGATATATTTGTACTAGAAACCTACTTTAGAAAGCAACAAAATAGATATCACAAACAAAGCCTAAATCATATGAATCATAAATTTATTTAAGATATTAAACATATTTTTTTATGATATAATATAAATAAAAAAATAAAAAAAAATGATCCCACATAATTTCTTTCTTATTTAACCTTCGTTTGGGATGATCCTTATGCAGCTTTATATTACAAAATTTTCTGTACTGAAAAATTATTTTAAGAAGCAGTAAGAAAGCCGTCACAACCGAGAGAGATTATTACGTACAGAGTCTGAATCAAAGCTGAATGATTTTTGTGAATGTGCATAGAAAAAATACAATAAAAACATACAAGAGAACAATAACTATGCTTCCACTATGCACACTCACTAAAATCAAACAGTTCTCCAATCTGCATTCCACACATAATAATCTCTAGCTCCACAAAAAAAGCCTTAAGGGTCAAGCAATTTCAATCATCAAACTGCAATTCACCATTATATACTTGCAATGAAAGCCATAAGCAGTCCGACAGCAGCTTTTACATTGGTTGTGCAATCAATCGTTCAGCCATTCAAATCTCGCACAGTAACAAAGCACTCAGTACAAACTACTGCATCTCACAAAGTCATACACCATATCATCCTTACCATAAAACATACGATCTGAAGTGGTTCTAAGGCAGAACGGATCTAGGGATAATAATATCGCCAATGTTATTGTGCCATGGATCGGCCAGATGAGTCGCCAGGTTCTCCAACGGTCCAGTCCCAGGGTAAGCCGACTGCTGCACGCAGAATCCCACAAAGGCCAGCAGTGCAAGCCGACCTTAACAAAGAATAAAACATTTTTTCATCAATAACTAATCCTCCACCATTAATCATTCAAATTATCCTAACAAATTTTAAATACTCACCATTTTTGATCTCCTTGACTTTGAAGTCATTGAACTTCTCGGGGTTTTTAGAAAAGCCTAGTGGATCGAAGGCTCCACCGGGGTACTTCTTCTTCTCTGGGTCCTTCTCCATGCTTCGTTGATGCTCGACGAAGGCGATGGCAAGAAACTCAATGATGAGAATGGTGGGAAGGGTGCCCCATGGGACGGGATTGCCCAAATAAGTAGCCTGACCGCCAGGGATAGTTGCCCATTCTTGAGCCTTGACCCAGTTGCCAAGCCCCAGAGCTTCTGGAATCAGAATTCCTGGCTGCATAATATCATATAATTGATTTTGATCAAGATATTCTCACACAGTCTTGGCTAAATTTTATATTTTTGGAGAAGAGGAGCTTACAACAGCTAGCATTGCCCATCTGCAATGAATAAGCTCGGACTCCTTATACCTCTCCAGGTTTTCTGGCACCTCACCAAGGCCAAGCGGGTCGAACCCGAAGTCACTACAGACCCACAAAGAAGAATTTTCAATATATATAGGCTTATAGTGTACTATAATAGCTTCAGAAAATGTTTTTTTATGAAATATTTTTATATGAATAGCATAAAGAGTAGTTTTTTTTTTTTGTTGAAAAAGAAACATTAAAGAGTCATTGGAGGTGATCAATAGTAGTTATAGGATTCCTTTGAGAGAGCTTTTGATAATTATTTTCTTGTTGCTTTCAAAAAAATTTGTACTAGATAATTACTTTAAAAAGCAGTGAGAAAGTTATCCCAAACAAAATCATAATCTATGTACATGAGAGTTATTTAAAAATATTTGAGTTTTATGTATTTTAGTTAGTGAAATTCGAGACAGATATGAACTGATAATATATATATATATATGTCTCAAAGCAGATTAAAATTTCATTTTGGGATAAATTTTTTATTATATTTTCTTGTAAAAATTTTCAGGAAAGCGGTAAGAAAATAGCGGCCAAAAGCTGTCTCCAAGGGCTTTTATTTTTGTGTTGCTTACCCAGGGGCAGAGCCATCAAGGTAGGGAGGGCGGGGCTGGCCTGGCATCCACTCAGCGGTCATGGAGAATCGAGACGCAGCATTTGTGCCGGCGGGGAGAACGATGGAGCCTGTGAACTTTGATTTTGAAGAGGAGAGAAGGCTTGGGAAGACTACAGCGAAGCTCCTCAGCCCAGCGGAAGCCATCTCCTGATCTGCTCGATCACTAAAGATCTCTTCGGCTTGTGGTGGAAGTGATGGGAAGGAGAGTTGTTAAGAAGTGGGAGAGGATGTAAATGAGATAAATGGAGGGGATGATGAGGAATCTATTTCTGTCGTTTGATTGGTTGGTGCTTCCGCTTGGGGAGATGCTATTGGAGAGCATATCCGTTGAAGTGCTTACGTGGCCTGTCCACTTGGTTGGATATCTAAGGCTGAGATTTGAAACGAGAAAAAAATTATTTTTATTGGAGGATTTTGATCCATATCACAATTTTTTTCATATGTATATACTTGGCTCTCTAATCTTTCGATAGCATCAAAGATATTATTAATGTTATTTTTTGTAAAATAAATATATCTTTTAATATTTAAAAATTAAACCTTATTGTTTAATGTGAAAATATAAAAAAATTATGTGGTATTTATGTAAATTTTTTTGGCTTAATATCATATTTTAAATTCGTTAGTTAGGGAAAGATTTTTCAGAAAAAGAGGCCAGTAGAGAAAATGCATTATTATTATTATTATTATTATTATAAATAAAACTCATATATAGGGACTTACGTGTTAATATAAATAATATATTACAAATCTTTACTAAATAGATATATTGCCCTCTAAAAATATATCATTTGAAATAAAACCAACGAGCATTTGACTCAAATTATTAAAAAAGCATAAGCATGAGAAAATAAAGAAGGACAAGCACGGCTCCCACTATGAACAACAACATGAGCATCAATGAAGCCTAATTAGCTATCAGAGACTCTCAGAGGAAGAGCAACATCATAGCTGGAGAGATAGAGAAATCTGCACAAGCAACTGAACAATAACCACAGCCAGGAGAATGCTACCAACAACAATCTCCCAAACCATCCAAACACAAACATAGGAAAGGGTCTGAACAACCAATCGATGAAACAACCAGCACCATCCAACTAATACCATAACAAACACCCCACCAGATTGAAGAAACCATTGAAGACAAAAACCCATTAGCAACATAATTTCGAAGGAGTTTAAGATCTCTTAGGCCTTCCTTCAGAAACATTTAAATCTTGCTCCACCTCTTTGTTTATCTTTTTTCTATTTTTCTTACAAACAACTTTTGCAAAATCATCATTACTAACTTGCACCACATTCATATCATAGTCATCGTGGGAACCAAAAAAAAAAAAACATCCACATTAGCCTCCCCAGAATCTCTAATAACCGACGAATTGTATGGGATTAACTAGTCATAGTGGTCAATAGGGTTCACATAAGAGTCCACATTAAACAACAGAATCATCTATAGCATCAGAAACATCATCAAAATTAGACCTGTGGTGGAGCCCTGTAGAGATAGAACATCCACACCACCATCACCAGCATCAGAACTCACTATAAGAGAAGTAGAAAGACAATTAGTAAGAAAATTAGCGACACATACAACATGAAAAACTTTCATATTATTGGAAATACCATCATCATCCATAGGGCCATGAAAAGAGGGATATTCATGATCCACCATTTGATCCCCACCAATAGGATCAACATCACCATCCACATTCTTTCCATCTGCAGCAGGTGCTACTTCAATATTAGGAAACACATTGCTCTCAAATATAATATAGGTCGTAGGCAATAAGGTAGGAGTTTCGATAGAAAAATCATCCCTTTAGGCATCAGAAGGAACACCAACATTATCATTTTTTAAAGCCATGTCATCCGAAATAGGGTAAGAGCAGATATTAACATCGGTGAGGTTGGCATTAGTCGTTTGCAGAATGACATCCTTAGGCTTAACAGGGTAATATTCTTCCTAATATTAGGGTGCAAAATAAAACACTCATTTTTTCCATGGTCGAGGGTCTTACAATACTCACATAAGGAAGGAACATCTTCCAAAACCACTTTTTGCATATAACCAAATTTCTCAGGTCCAGTCCAAATGTTGGTTTGATAGTTTGTAGTAATATACAACTCCAACAAGATCCGAGTAATCGAGGGCCTAGTGCAGTAAGTAGTGGCGTTGTGCGTTTGCAAGGGTTTGCCAAATAGAGATCCTAACATATGGAGGATTCTTGGTGAAAATAAGTGAGGTCGTAAATGTAACAGCAGTTTTGCTCATATCGTTCGGGCCGATTGTAGATCATCCCGGGAAGATTAGTTCAAATGTTGTTCCAGATTCTGTACAGAAGTCACAGGAAAGTTTTCCTGTAGGTATCGTCCGGGCCGATCTGGGATCGTCTGTCACGACCCGACCCGAGACGGATCCCGCCCCGCACCGGGCCGCGACCAGCTTAACGAACTAACCAGGATCTGGCTTTGGAATTTGCTTACTGAACTGAATCTTCCAAATATTATACAAAACAGACCAGAGCTACTAAAAATATCAAATGCAGCGGAACAAATCATCTATATTTTTCTTTCTTTTTCTCAAAACAATCATCTACAAATACAGTACATGGCTGACAGAAAAATAAAACAGAAAGAGCCATGACTGTACAAAAATCAAAAAGTACAAAGTACCTATCACAGATTGGACTCTGAACTCTAGTCCAAGACCTCCTTCCCTTTCCCAGAACCTGAAAACCACCAGAAAGCAAGAGTGAGCTCAACAGCTCAGCAAAGCGACAAACCTCCAATCAAAATTCTCAGAATCCAAAACCAAATACATCAGACAAATCCGTACAGAAATCAGAACAGAATCGGACAGATATCAAATCGGACAGATCAGAACGGAACAGATCAAATCAGACAGAACTGTACGGAAACAAAAGTCATATCAAATCAGAAACAGAACAGATCAGACATATCAGATCAACAGAATCAGAATCATACCGAAATCAGAAATTCAGATCATATCAGAACAGAACAGAATCATATTTGCTTACAGAACAGATACGGAAAATCAGAAATCATTTTTCAGATATCAGATATATAATTAATAGCTAAATTCCCTGACACTGACGGAATCTCTACGAATGCCAGCCCCTTATGCCTCCCTTTTGTGCTCACGGCACCAGAACAGATGTGCTTATAGCACCAGAACAAATGTACTTATCGTACCAGAATACATATATAGTGCTTATAGCACCTAAACAGATTTCCTCGGATCCGGAACAGAACAGATTTCAGATTTCAGATTGAGCTCATTTCAGATTTCCCAGACACTAACTGAATCTCATAGGATCCAGGCCCCTTATAACTCCCTTCTCATAGCATATACAGATAGCATATCAATTCAGAGAAATCCGGACAAAATCAGAAATTACCCAAAAATCGGACAGCATAACGGCAGTATACGGAATTTACATAATTTTTCCTGAA